TGAGCGCAAAGCGATTGGCCAAAGTTGTGTACGACTCGTGTTGCCATAATTTATCCCTGTTATTTCAACAATCTTCTTAATTGTCAAAACACTTTATGCAGGTAAACCTTTTCCCATGAGTGACCGCAGCGGTTCCCATACGTTTTTTTCGAGAGCTATGTCCGAACAGCTTCGAGCATGGTACTGGAATTTTACATAGCTCAGTAAACGCAATCTTTACAAATGTAAAAATGTATAACTTGTAATATTGATGATGCATGAGCTGGAATATTTGTATTGCACATCGGCGTGATGCTGCTCATACGTGACAAATGACGTTTATTTCTCCCAGGAAAGAGATAGTGCATCATTCATATCAAACACATCCTTTTGAAGCGCGTAACTATTGGTTCGCTTGCTTTTGCAATACTAGGTCATCCAAGGTCAAGCTAGGTCAAACTGCGTATTTGTAACCAAATTTGACCAGACTTGAAGATCATATGATTTGAACCGTAACGTATATGCTTTACATCTTTGAAAAGTATGCATAAGGTTGTTTTCCACATTGATGTGGACTGCTTAGTTCTTGACACCTATGACCAGACTGGCCATGGAAGCAAATCACCTTCATCGTACGCGCACAATGGCCTCGACGTGGACGCCTTGTTAGACTCCAAACCACCCAACCGCCTTTACACTTTTGACCTGGCATGAAATATCAACGGTTACACCTGTGAATGTTTGTAGGCGCCAATCTAAGAGAGGTTTGCGAGAGATATTTGATGCCGAGCTATTTTCAGTGTTGCTACGCGTTTGTTTCTTGAGATGACAGGCGGGCGTCTGTAAAGACGCCCGCCTGTCAGCCTGTCAAACCTGATCAGCCAGTCAAAGGTGACCTTTAACAAGATTCATACACGCCTGTTACGGTTGTTTAGGCCGTTTTTCCCGGGTCTGTCTCTTGTCTTGCTGTAGATATATTGCGGGCTCCTGAGGCACCACTGGCGTTGTCCATGCCTGTGCTACTCGGCCGTGTGGCGCTGACCCGGCCGCCGCGGTTCCCGTGCGAAGGAGCTTAGCGCCAGTGGCCCGATCGGCTCGACCAATCGCGTGTCTCGACCAATCACGCGTGGGGTCAAGTTTCTAAGACAATGTGCGATGACAACAGAACGACAATCCAAGTAACAATGTGCGCTGCACCCGGTCGGCGCGTTGCTCCCGCAGACTGAAGACAAATGCCTTGTTGAAGGGAATGTTTCGCATTTGGAGATATTGAAGTAATCATCCGATATAATGAAATAAGCCCGCTTATAACTATGAGCATGCTTAAAATCGGAAAAAGCTGCTCTTGGCAATATAACTTCTCTGCTTGGTAAACATGCTCCTCAATACGTCATTGCTTGATTGCGTCATCGCATCCTGGGTAACATTGATTGCGAGCCAATGCACGGCTGCCATGGCTGGAAATCGTGTTCACGATCGCTTAATATGAATGACTCGACAATAATGTTTGTTTCGACCTTGAGAGACACGTGGCTAACAGAACGGTAGGATTTGAATGGCAACAGTATGGCGTTATGGTTGCCTGGGCTACCTTGAGAGGGTTTAAGTCTTAAGAAGGACAGGGCTGTGAACTGCACCGAATGATGTTGACGATGACTATTTTAGTTCAAAACCCCCTAGAAATGTGGAACACTTTCTTCAAGCCAACGTAAACCTGGGGGCGTTTTGCATATATTTTTTGTCCGGAGTTCCCGGTTGTCTCAGCGGACCGTGAAGGCATCGTGTTTTTTTTATTTTTGACGCACTGAGATCCTTTCGAACACGGGAAACTTCTGAGTGGCCTTGTCGCAAATTGCGCCCTATCATTGCCTGTCAACTGCTGCTTCACAGATTCCAGATCCGAATTCACCTCACGCACGGCAAACAGTTCATAGGTACAAGCCCCCAAACCGCCCAGGGATGCAAAAACACTGGAAAACAAAGAGGATCGCGGATTAATGAAAGCGATGGGTCGCCGGCCAAAGACCGACCAATACTTACACAGACTCGTGTAAGCAAACTACTACTATCACAAACATCAGCATGGTGAGACGGAGAGGCACGTCACGGTCAGGGTCCGATCGCCATGTTAAATACGTCTGGAAGGTCTCGTTTGCTTAATGTTGATGTCCATGCAATGTCATTGGGAATCATTCCAGTACTGACTGGGTGCACCCTGAACTGCCCCTCCCCCCCCCCCCCCCGCCAAACATACAGTCGGCACGTTCAAGCGCGCACCGGCGGCAGACAGTCCTGGCTGCGCTATCAGGGGTGACACAAGCTTTTTTGGACACTGCTAGGTACGATCATTGGCAAATTTATTCGACATTCCAAGGAACGTGTGCAAAATGCTGAGCTCATTTGCAACCCACAGGCGCGATATTTGGCGATATGCAACGGGCGATAAGTTAAAATTACATTTAATGAGATGTGGTCACTTCTACGCCCGGCGCAGGTCGACCAAATTTGCGCCGAGTCTTTGACCTCTAATTTTTAAAACCTTTAATCGATTTCACCTTACCAGCGCACCTTTAAGCTGATGTGCATTCCAGCGAAATGATTGGCGAACCAACCCAGTGAAGCCCGTGCCGTCTTGCTGGAGCCACCCCCTGCCCAGACAGATCCCGTGAAGCCGTCTGAACGCCGCCCAAAAAGGTATCAGTATGGTAGCGATGTGTCGCTCCGCTGTCGTGTGTCGTGCTGACAGGATACTCATCCTCGCCCGCAAAGCATCGTGTGCAAATCTCGAATTGACGAATGTCTGATGCGACTGATAATTAGCATTGTTCTTGCATCATGTTTTGCAATTGAATGGTCATGTAAATGCTACCGGCCTTCATAATGCGAAAAATGGACTTGTCGCTGTTGAGTAAAACATACGTTTTTATCTGAACAACCCTGCGTAGAAGGCGGCTCTACACGGGTGCCGACTGTTTATTTCATATTTCTAAAACTCCTGTGCCACCCTTACCCACACGTCACAGCCGGGATACCTGGTTCAGTGCTGTGTATCTGTCTCCACGGAAAATAAGGAATACGTTAACACATTTACAGTTCTAGGACTGGAGGCCTAGCAAATGCACACACCGCTACCCATATTTGGGGTATGAGGATTGTCTCTCAAGCAGCCATGGGGCGTGCGGCACTGCAATGTGATGTGGTTGGAGTAAGCATGTGCTTCTCAAAGAGTTCGTCCTCTGGAGACATATCTGGGATAACCACCCACTCTGAACAGCGCTGGTCTAGTGAGTCCCGACCCAGTCGTATGTCGGACTAACGGCAGCACTTTGCAGCGGGAGCTTAACGTGCCGAAATGCGCTGCATTCCGTCCTGCCCTCTGACGTTACGTGGCCACTAGCGCAGCCGCTGCCGCCGGTCGCAGGCTATCCTAGTCAGAGATCAACAGTCAACGTCTAACGCGGCGGAGCCTACAGATTTATCTAAATCTAAGGACGATTTAAAAGACAGTTCGGCGGTGTAGCTTCCACTTGATTGCATCATAGGAAGGGCGTCGAGGAATAGAACAGTCACATTTCGTACGGCGTGTGCAAGCGAGGCATGTTGGGTTAGGCAGCATACTTTCTAGAACTATGCTTTCTCTTGTCTTTACGACCAACCATAAACATAAAAGTGCTCGTTCTCAGTATCCTCATAACCGCTCCAAATTGAAAGTAAAGCGCTCAAAGCGCTGCGAATGTTAAGCTCTCGTAAGGATGCCCGCCGCACTCAAGACATCTGGCCTTCTGTCTACAGGTCTTGCTATGCCCAAAACATTGGCAGTTGAAGCATGGAATTGTGACATCCTGACTGCGTACCGGAGATAACCGCCTGAGGGCCTCTCGGAATCGCGTGGTTTCCAGAATCAGATCGGGCAGGGTGGTGTCTCGATGATGTCCATCTCGGAGAGGTTGGCTGTCGGACGTGCCGCACGTTCCCCGTTGAGTCCCGCCGAAATCTTCCGACCCATCATACAACGGAGCCCACGAGCAAAGACCGTACCTGTTGGATGTTGCACGCATGCCGGACAAGTTTTGACCGCCTCGCTACAGAATTCATTAGTTTGACGTAAGCCATTACTCTGTGCACGATTGATGATTCCATTCCTAGTGAGCTATTGACTGGCGCTTCCATTGGCTGATGGTGTGGGTCGCAGATTTTCTGAATTTGTATGAATTGCCAAAAGACACAGATTTTTGCACAATGAAACATTCTCTTTACATGGTTGCACGACCCCGGTGTGTCCAGTGCAGGCTCAGGGTGGTGGTCACTGGTCCCTTCCTCCTTCCGTACTTCACCAACTGGGAAGCGGGAAAGGACGGACAAGAGGTGAAGTATAAATCTGTTTAGAGAAGATGAGACACCTAAACGGATGAAAACGACGATGAAAAAGCAGTAACTCCTGGCAATATGCCACAACACGAGAGAACCTCCGACCTGGGTCCTGCCAAACACGCGCCCATGGATCGGATTAGGCAGCGGGGTTTCCCGCTCGATAAAATTTATTGACATGAAGCGAGTTGGCCTGTCCATACCGTTTCACTCGGCATAACGGCTAGGTGTACGTATACCACCTGCCTATCTCTCTAGGCCCGTGGTTTTTCTGTCATTCGCGGACAAACGAAGATCAGACTGGCATTCACTGGCTGATTGGATGATAAGCACAAAAGTGTCCACTATAAGCAATGCGGAAATTAATTATAAAACACACATAGTTCACGTACTTCAGCCATAGCGTACTCGCCGCAGTAGGCACATGACACACAGCGATGGCATTCAGGCGCGAGCGGCTTTTGAAACGCTCGCAGACAGGAGCGTCCTGTGGCGTTGTTTGACGTTGTTTTACGTATTCATTGAAATTTCATGACTATTCGCTTTGTTTCCCAAAAACATGTGGAAGTGTGAGTTCATAAAATATGTGGGAGTGTGATTTTTGTGTGAGTGGTTGAGTCGTGGGGAAAAATCTATAAATCTTGCGTCTATACCTTGGGCATAAGAATGTTTCCTCCTGGTGTGTAAATGCACAAAATCACGTCATCTGTGTTCAATATCAGATACGACGGTTAACTCATTACCTAAAAAAGAGGCTAACTTCATTATCACCCCTAAGAGTGGAAGAGGCTCAGCACCTAAGTACGGCTCGTTCGTTGCCCCAGTAGCCACACCAGTAGCTACACACACTGAACTAAATGAATTCCTCTTAAACATATTATAAACCGCTCCCCTTAGACACCATCACCACTACTTTAATTGCTCTACAACCTACTCATTACAATAGGTAGCCTGCATCAATGCTAATCACAGCTGTAGAAAGCCCGGGCATGAAATCCACTCAGTCATAGAGTGCCATTAGTTGCACCCAGTGCGCGGGCGTACTCCCTCGCGCCAGCGCTCTGGACTGTCAGGCGCGGCAGCCAGGCCTGGGTCGGCAGCACACGTGTTACTTGGTGGCCACCCCATACAGGATCGGGTTGATGGGGTCGATGCCCGGTTGAGGCTTGGAACGCGGCTTCATCTTGTTCTCGACCAGAAACACAGAGTGGTGCTCCATAGTGCTGAAGCCGCCTGCCAGCAGCTCCTGTTAACAGGAAGCCGGGCGATGAACGCACCGGGCACATGGAGGCAGCGTCAGAACGACCGTGAACTATCCCCCCCCCCCCCCCCCAGAGCCGCAGCCATCGGTACACAGGCTAGCATAGTGCGGCGCGCCTGACTTCGATGTCACCTTTTTCATTCTCGCTCCCACAAGCGTTGTTTTGCAGTAGATGAAAGCTTGAAAATAAACTGTTTCCCGTATACGTCGTATCCCGATAATCGATTCACAACACTCTTCATTCCCCCCCCCCCCCCCCGGAGTCTCGATTCACCAGCCTCATGATCATCCCCCAGGAGTTTCTATTCGAGACTTATCATCCGCCTGCCCTCCAGGAGTCTCGATTCACGAGCCTCATCATCCACTCCTCCCCCCCCCCGCACCATCTACTCACCGACCCCTGACGGGAGCCGGGAGCTCTCCACCACAGCCTGCCAACTCCCGTCCCTATCCTTTGGGTGCCCATGCTGTGCTCCGCCTCTGCCCCCGCTCACCGCCTCCAGGTCGCAGTTGGCCATGCAGCCGCCGTACAACATGGGCCACAGACCACTGTCGGAGACCGCGTTCTGAAAGCGACGCCGCCACGTTCCCGGCTCGTCTCCAATGTGCTCAAGGAAGTAGAACCTGCCACCCTGCGGAAAAGGCATAAACTCAGGTTATGGGGCGCGTTGACAGGTGGCAGCTCAGGACCACCTGTTTAAAACACCGGTCGCATCTGACATGTGCAAGCATGCAAACATCAGCTGTGCCTCTGTTCAGAGCATGGTTCGCTTGCGCTAGGCGAGTAAGCCGCATAAGGCCTCCCAAGTTGAAAGCAACCCTTCGTGCAGGATTAGCAGTTTACACTTAATAACGCCCCTTCCCTCCTATTCACAACAATGGCCAGGGTACTTTAAAAGCATCCAACGACACGTGGAAAGCTACATGGAAAAACATGCATTCGCCGTCAGCGTGTTGGACTGCTCCGAGGCGTCCTCGTTTGCAAGATGCACAAGAGGTGTGGTCAGGTGAGAGCAGGAGGGCAGAGACTTCACGGTCACGTCTTTTCTGGCGTAGAGAGCAGTACCACTGGCCCACGCCGCGCCGCTTTGGGGAATGGGGAGCCCCATGGACCACCTCGACCACTACTAACACAGATCAGCCGTCGTCGCTCCAAGCACCCCTCCTGCCCACACTCAGAATGACCGTCCGGCCGGGCCGACGCGTTACGCCCGGCCTCCGTACTGACCGGCACGAGGACGCGGAGAATCTCCCGCAGCATCTGGTCCACGTGCGCGACGCTGCAGAGCACGACCGTGACGACGACTACGTCCACCGAGCTGTCGGCCACCGACGGCATCGACTCGCCGCGCTCCGCCACAAACCGGATGTCCGGGTCCAGGTGCGCCGCCTTCTGCTCACACTCGCGCCGGAAGTAGGCTTCGAACGCTGCGTTCGGGTCGACGCTGAGCAGCCGCGAGCCGGCCGGGTAGTACTCGAGGTTGGTGCCCGTGCCGACACCCACCTGCCGCGGTATTACAGGGCGGAGGGGAGAGGGGGAGGGATGAGGGTGTTAATAGCGTCTCGCCGCGCTGCCGCAGCTCATACGGGGATGGTGGCTGTAGCCAACGCACTCAACAACGGATGCTTAGATGAGGACACTGTTCAGCCGAGGGTCACTGCGCACGTGGTTTGAGCACACGCACAGCGAGTTATGTCTTAACATCAAGATAAATGTCCTACCTCTAGAATATTCAACGCATTCTTCTTTTGCATCTCCGGATCCGCCGATTTCACTTCTTTCAAGCTGGAGAAGAGCTCCTTCTTGGTACTTTCAAAGAGCACCTTCTGAGCGTCCTTTATCGAGGAGTTCATCATCATGGCAAAGATCATATCCCTGAATGCTTGGATACGAGCAGGTCCAAAAGCTACATTGGCCACGACGGTGATTAAAAAAAGCCACCCCAATATGGAAGCGATGCAGCTCAGGAGACAATACATCCAGCACCACATTTTGGCAGCGTGATATCTGAAAGAAGGCGAACGCGTTAACCAACAGGGACTTGCGCAGAGTAAGGATGTTCGTTCAGATAACATCAAGGTTCTGCTGGTCCTCGTACATGGGGCAGATACCAAAGACCTAACGTTCTCATTTGAAACTGCCTTTGTATACAGAATTTCCGCTATGGTCACAGCGTGTGCATGACCCAACCGAGATCCACGATCAACCGAGATCCAAGATCCCAAGATCCATGATCTTCCGAGGTCCGAGATCCCGAGATCCGCCCACGCCGCACACCTGGTGGACATCGGCAGGGAGCGGCTCTCAATGTAACATGCTTGTATAGCTCGCTCGTCAGTGTTGGCTTCCCATTCTCGGACTTGCCAAATGGCGGGAACAGATCAGAGGAGGCACCCTGGTCGCCCTGGTTGATGGCTGAGAGTATTTAGGGGCAGATACGGCTGACTTTCTCCTCTCACAGCAAGGAGATGGGGTGCACAGCTTTTTCGGTTGAAAATGTGTGAAACATGCCACGTACCTAATGCTACATCGAGAAGTGACCGATTGGTCGTTTTAATCTAGTATATCTGCCGACGCAAACCACAAATGTCATGCCCACACGCTGGGGCGGAGTGGGCGTAACGTCGGAGCGCAGTGCGGACGGCTGCCCACTTCCCCAGCCACCGTCTGCTCACTGCAAGGGATTCCGCAGTCCCGTCCAACAGTTGCTCGACGGAGTCGCAATGTTTTCAGCAGTTATTAGCATTACGGTCGCCTCAAATGTTTCACACTTCTTTGTCCGGATTGCGGTCGGCGTCATTTCGGCAGAAAATGTCCCTCCGATCCGCTAAAGACGCGCAGAACCCAGTGGTACGTCCTCACCGCCTCATCCTGAATTCTCACCGCTTTATCTCGAGCCCTCGCAACACGTCATCGTCTCTTGAGCGGGCAAGTTACGGCCGCTAGCAACGAACAGGTTCAAACACCGCCGTGACGGAAGCCCAAGCCGACCGCCCACATGTACTCCAACGACGGCTTCCTGCGCCGTAAGTCTGGGTTACGGAGGACTCCTAGACAGCTGCAGTCTCGTCCATCGCTCGCCTCTCTCCACCATCATGCAGCCGTGGAATAGTCCGTGCTGGACGAGAGGGCTCTTAGCCCAGCCAAGCCATGTCAGACCAAACGGCTCGCAAGCAGGCAGCAGTTTCGCTCTGGGGCGCGCCGACTGGGTTGAACATATCGTACCAGCTTCCATATGGTACGCCGGGTTCAGTTATCAAGTACAGTCGTTCCCACGTCACATATAGTCAAAGTCTGGTGCTCGCCAACAGTTCACAAGTAATTCATGAACCGCTGCTCGTTTGCGGCTTCGCCGACGACCGGCCAGCAGTTCGCGCTCAGTTTGCGAATTGTTCGTGGACGCAAATGCATTATTCCTCGCTTCAACTGGAGGTAGTAAATACGCTGTATATATCAACACGTGTTTCATTTTTGTTTCGGAAAAGCAGAGGCTCAAATTTCATTTCAACCTTTTAGAACCGTTCTACACGTCGTGACGAAAGCACACTTTTTTATCCAGTAGTTGAAGGTGAACCAATTTTATGTCAGCATGACGATGCATACTTAATGGCTCCAAAGCGTCACACGAAAATTGTCCCTGCCTTCGAAATAACTTCACGTATTGTACAGTAGGGAAGGGAAAAAGTAAGCAAATATCACCTGGAATTTTCGGTACTTTGAAACATTGCAACGAGTGAAGTAGCTCGCCAGTAGCTCGCCAGTGCTCGTCAGCACTTTGGCTGAAAACTGATCTTCACTGGCTCAGAGCCAGCTGCCGTTACTGAGACCCGACGACTGTGTTTGAGATCGTCTGCTTCTTCGATCCAAGTCCACGCGCGTTCGCGTCTTGGCCCTTTCTCGTGGCGTTCTTACATATTTGTCCGTGATTTTGCACTGTTTATTTCCATTCACATACGCAGTTATGGGGTCGTTCTTAAGGTTTTTGATTCCCAATCTTATTTCGGTCATAACTCGTACCACGGTTCAACTTCCTGCATCACGCAGCAAAAAAAGCGATTTGCGTTCAAAACTTCCACTGAGCGTATAACATCGGTTAGTGCTACTATGCTGACGTGCGACAGACACGAATAACTCGGTGAGCGTAGCCTTCTTGGCCAAGGTCATAACTTCCTTAAGGATGGCATCATAAAAAGAAAGCTAGGATCAAGGTCCCAGGGTTTTTAAGCACCCGATGGCCAAGGAAATGACAGTATTCACATGACGTTTCTGTGACGTCACGCGTGCCTGGGCGACCCTGAAGGTCTGCACGACAGTCTGCACAAGTTTGCGGGCGTCAAACTCGGAAAATGGAATGTTTTAAGTCATAATTGGGCAGGGTTATGAGCTGCAATGAATGATCTTCAAAAATTCCAACTCAGTTCAAACTCCATACAAGCACACTACACTCCCTTTAAGCATACATGTACCCAACCCCACAAGAAGCCAGATCTCAGAAAACCTCAGGAGCCTCTTGATATTTGTGTCATGCAGCATGACATGCAGCAAAAAATCAACATATCTGTCTACCCATTTTCCTGGTTATTCTATGAGGAATACAGCTATCAATACTATAATATATATATATGCAAAACAAAAATGCACTTAACAACTTACCCTTTGATAAAGTTTAAGAGGCACCAAATGTTTCAAATACTTTCACAATTATTGCAAGGACACCCTGGATATCTGAAGATCTTTTGAAAACATAAAAACATGCTGCATCTCATAACCTCATTTTTCATAAAAACAAAAACCCACAGTTAAAATATCCCATGTAACAGAAAATCCTTTGGCACCTCTATGAACTTGCAAGTTCTGAATAAAACAGATCTACCAGATCCAAGTACAATCTCTGGCATAATTCATGCATGCACAGGTAAACCAGTGAAGCAGGTTGCACATCAGGTGCCATATGTAATCCACACAGGTGGGGCAACGTGCCCCAAGATTGTGCCCAAAGGTCAGCTGAGCATTGTGTGTGCTGGGCTGGCAGCCAGCAGACAGCTGTAGCTAACATAGAGCTAAGGGAACTGGGAGTTTGGAGAACATGTGGCACAGATGCAACACAAACCATCAAATATATATTTCTTATTTTTCTTAACTATTGTAGTCAGCAACCAGCAAAACTTCACTTTACAGCACACTAGTGATGAGATACCATCATGTTAATTTTAAGTTTGAGATACTTTTGGAATTAAAGCTTGGAAAGCTCAGATGCAAGAATTGCAAAAACTCAGAAAACCTGCTGGCTTTTGGGGAAAATGAAGTGTGATTCAAATAGTTAATATTCCAGACATTCACCTGCTCAACTACCTAACACAGCTCATTATAGCTAGCATTGCTGGCAGTAGAATGTAACAGCATATCTGGATATAATATTTGTATGCATTTATTTCATACTTGGTACAAATCAAAACAGCAAAAGCAAACAGCAGCTGATGGTGAAGAGGAATACACTGATTTGTGCCCTTTTTAGTACAAATCTTCCATGAACTTAAGCTTGGCAACATGTCTTGGCAAACAAAACACCTATAGCAACACACTGAGCCTGTTTGATGCATTGACAGTGCAATTCACTACCACAGTCACCTACCAGGTGCATGGATAGCCAATACCAGATGCAAGGAGTCTTATTTAAATAGGTAGGAATGCCACTCAGATTTTGTCAGGCAACAACATCTAGTATTTGGTCAACAACTTACACCAAGGTGTGGGGCTCTTGCTCTGCCCTTCTGTTTCTACACACCTGTCTTGATGACTGTTGTCATACAGCTATTAATATATAAGTAATAATAATATAAATAAGAAAACTCTTGAAGACCAGCTGTGATATCATAACAGCATTTTTGCATGTACAAGTGCTAAATTTCCAATCTGCAAGCTACCATGGGAGGATAACAGGCAATTTGAACTAGGAAACATCTCCCAAAGTCCCCTCCCCAGATCTATAGTTACACCCATGAGGCAGACATGGGTGCAAGCCAATTGGCAAAACTAATGGTATCACTTTCACCATCACATTATCCTTCAGTAGGCTGTCACTTAGTTGTATTTCACAGCTGATAAGCTTTGCACAGGCTCAAATAATCAAACATTGTCATGAGCTAAAGATGCAAGACTCAGTATTTTGCTTTGTAGTTAATTGCAATCACCACAAACATTTAAAGGTTGTGAATGGCCCCTGAATGGAGTGTTCAAATAGAGCAACCCAATGCCTATTATTTTGTTTGTACCATAAGATTACATGGTGCTTGCACACTCAATGCAATTTCACTAAGCTTTGGCTTAGTGACTTTTTTACTCAAACTTTAAATGGACCTCAAATAACCCCTCTTTTGAGCTTACGGACACATACAGTGTTATTTGATGCCAGCCAAAACCTCTTAGCAGTAAGACTGTAGCTTTGTGCAAATTATATATCAGTCATACTTCTTATGTTGATCGTTGAGGAGTTCCCAACAATCACCTATGAATGTGGTGACATAACGTTAATAAACAGAGGAGGCATAACATCTAACATCATCTTTAATGGAACGCATTTTGTTGGAAACCTGAAAACGACGTCTGCGTGGAGAGTACCGGCCCACGCACGCACCTCCCCAGAAGTGCCACCATAGCAATCGACGCCCAAATGCCTGCAATATTTCTCACCGTTCCCTGTGCCTTGGATAGACACCGTACATCAAATGCCCCAGAGCAATAAGCTTATCGCCCGCACGGCCCTGTCGCGCTGCTGTCACCCGACCCCGGGGCAGCGTACGATCGGTCAGGGCGTACTTTCCTACCTAACGTTAGAAAAAATCATTGTACACCATTCGTCGTGTTTAAGGCATGACATATCGTAAATAATCTCAAAACAGGTAGAATCATGCTCCTACCTTCGAACTTCAATAACTTCGATGGCGGGCCCCCGACCGCCGCGTGCACCGTACCGCCTGGACTCCCCAGCGCCGTTTCCGCGTTGCCGTTGCGTAAATAAATATTTCTGCGTACCAAGAACTGTACAAAATGTACGGGACCAAAGTAAACCATTCGTCATGTTTAAGGCAGGACAACCATAACCTAACTGCGAACCATAAAAATATTTACTAAACATAAACCATATTTACCATAACCATATTTACCATATAAACCATATTAACTGCGAACCATACTATAAACCATAACTATAACTATAAACTATACTATATAAACCATACTATAACTATAAACCATATTTACTGCGAACCATAAAAATGTACCGGGACAAGGTAGCAAGAATCCATGAAATTTGATCCTCGACGCCAACGGGGCCATGGGTTGCAGGGGGATTGGGTGGGGAATGTAAATGATGGTCTCAGAGGCACCAGCATGGTTCTTCCGGTTGCCTCTGGACCTACAACAAGCCCAAGTGAGAACTCCAGGGGCACTGAAGCGGGATTTCCCCCTTTATTGGACCCTGCTGGTGAGGGTATTGTGGGTCACCCCGCTCAGGCTCCCAGGGGTTCTAGGGGCTCTGACAGGAGTGACAGCTACACAGCGACCTCAGTCACTGGGGATGGATCCGCAAATCAGCATACTCAAGTTCAGGCTGATGCTGGTTCTCACGGTCCGCAATGACTGCATAATGCTCATCAGTGCAGGGGTAGGCAAGGTCTGAAGATATTGTGCACCAATGCTGACCAGTTCCTTAGTAAAAGGGATGATTTATGTATGCTCATTGCTGATGATAAGCCAAATATCATGCTGTTGACTGAGGCCCTTCCCAAGGCCCAGAAGCTTCCTATTGCACCATCTCTCCTATCAATTTCCGGGTACACCCTGTACACAAACTTGAATCTCAGCCCAACCTTGGATCTAGTGGTAGAAGAGGCATATGTGTCTATGTGTCCAACTTACTAAATGCAGCTGAGCACTCATTTGGGTCAAGTCCTCTGGAGCAAGTGTGGCTGAAGATGGCCTTGAGTGGGAAGGATGCCGTGTTACTTGGCTGCATATACAGAAGTCCATCAGGCAACATCCAGGACAGTGTGAGCCAACTGGAAGACCTTCTTCAGAAAGCATGCAGAGCCCAGTTCTCTCACGTGATGGTTGTAGGTGACTTTAACTTGCCTCAGATCGACTGGGCAACAGAGCGGTCGTCAGCTCCAGAGAGTCACCCACCCACTCTTTGATTGACACCATTCAGGGCTGTTTCTTGTTTTAGCATGTCCGGCAGCCAACACGCTACCGGGTTGGTGAAGCTGCTAGTGTTCTGGACCTAATTTTCACAAATGAGGAAAGCATGGTGAGCCAAATCAAATACCTGCCAGGGCTAGGTAACAGTGACCATGTGGTTATCAGGTATACTTTGGTCTGCTACTCTGGGCTACAAACCCCTCGTCCCAGCCAGCTGACACACACAAATTACGAGCATCTGGCTGACACCCTCAGGTCAATGGACTGGTCCCTGATGGAGAGCCTCAGCCTCGAAGATGGTTACAAGTTCTTCAAGGAAAGAATCGCCAGGGCCACTGAGGTTTGCTCCGTCAGGAGAAAGGCCAAAGCTAAGAAGAATTTATACATGAACCCAAGGGCCATGCAACTAAAGAAGGCTAAGGAAAGACTATGGCGAACGTACACGCGGACTCAGGATGTTCTGGACCATGCCAGGTTTGTGCGTTGTCGCAATGACCTGCGGAAGTTGACCAGGTACCTTCGGAAAGAGTATGAGATTAAATTATTAGCAGACATCAAAAAAGACCCCAAGGCCTTTTGGAAGGTACGCCAACTCTAGACTACGCACAAGATGCAGGATAGAAGACCTTCTTGACGATGATGGAGTGCTGACCAGCAGTAGCGAAGGGAAGGCAAACGTCCTCTGTAAGTTCTTCGCCAGCGTTTTCACGGACGAAGGGACTAGTGCCATGCCTGTGTTACCGTGTAACTTTACTGGACCGTTACTGGATGACGTGGCCATCTCTACCCAGGCAGTGGCAAGGAAACTGGCCGCTCTGAAGTCCTCGAGCACCCCTGGGCCAGACGATCTCCATCCAAGGCTTCTTCGCGAGTCCGCAGATGCCCTGGCAGCACCCCTCAGCATGCTTTACCGAAAATCTTTGGCATCCGGAAGGCTCCCTCCGGAGTGGAAGCTTGGCGAAGTGGTCCCGATTTCAAGAAGGGTGACCGACAATCTCCGGCGAGCTACCACCCAGTGAGCCTTACTGCTATTCCCTCCAAGATACTCGAAACTTTTGTCCGTGATGCCCTACTTAATCACCTCTCAGAGTCTGACTTCTTCATGCGGCCCAGCATGGGTTTCTCCCTAAGCGGTCCTGTACCACCCAGCTGTTAGAGGTTATGGAGGATTGGAGCGCCGCGGTAAAGGATGGAGAGCCGATGGACGTGGTGTACCTGGACTTCAGCAAAGCCTTTCATTCTGTAACCCATAACCGTCTGCTATCCAAGCTTCATGCTTAAGGTGTGAGAGGCAATTTGCTACGCTGGATCAGGGCTTTTCTTACTCACCGGATGCAGAGAGTGCGGGTCCAGGGCTCGAAGTCGGAATGGACCGACGTCATCAGCGGCATCCCGCAAGGGTCAGTACTTGGACCAACGCTGTTCATTATTTTAGTGAACGATTTACCAGAACAAGTGCGAAGCGTGGTCAAGATGTTTGCGGATGACACCAAGGTCTACTGTCGTGTCCCGAGGCCCCTGACTAACTCACCTTTGCAGGCTGACCTCGACGCTCTGGCCGAGTGGTCAAAGGAGTGGCTGCTCCCCTTTAGTGCAGCAAAGTGCAAAATAATGCACATCGGGAACTGCAACCCGAGGCTGACGTACTTCTTGGACGGGGCTGAAATCGCGGTCGAGTCCACCGAGAAGGACCTCGGGATCTTCGTGGATTACCGGCTCCAGTTCCACGTGCAGACGGCGGAAGCGATCTCCAAGGCCAGCCAGATGCTGGCGGTCGTGAGGCGGTCTTTTGCCAATATCGATGCTCGCACGTTGTCATTGTTTTTTAAGATCTTAGCACGTCCGTACTTAGAGTATGGCAACGTTATCTGGGGCCCGTTCGGCAAACTGGACCAGAAACAGCTGGAACTGGTTCAGCGACGAGCTACCCGGCTTGTCTATGAAGTGAGGCGCCAGCCATACCCTGAAAGGCTCAGACTCCTTCAGTTGCCCTCGCTGTACTATCGTCGTCGTGGGGGAGACATGGTAACAGTGTACCAGCTGTTTCACGGAGGCATGTCGCTATCGGAAGAGGAGTTCCTGACAAGGCACAACTCGGAGGTGACGAGGACACCAATGGAAGCTCAGAAAACCTCGAGCTAGGACTCTCGTCCGTCGTAATTCATTCAGCACGCGGGTTGTCAACGACTGGAACGCTCTTCCACACCCGGTCGTGTCGTCGACCTCAGTTGAACAGTTCAAGTCTAGGCTTGATACGCACTGGGCTGACATCATGTACGACGTCCCACACTGAATCTTCCCATAATTTGAGACTGTTTGGTTACCGGACCGGGAGCCTGACGAGACCGGGACCTACAGGCCTAGTGGCCTTTTATAGTTCCCCATCACCATAAGGTAAGGTAAGGTAAGGAAGCAAAATGAGAACATGGCAGCTAAATAAAAGCTCACTATGTGCACCTATATATGGCATGGAACATGGATGCCAATGAGATGCTGGGTTGAAGGGGATATAGGGTGGGAGTAGTAGGTCTAGGTTAGGTTAGGTTAGGTTAGGTTAGGTAGGTAGGTTAGGTTAGGTTAGGTTAGGTAGGTTAGGTTAGGTTAGGTTAGGGCTAGGTCAGGTCAGGTCAGGTCAGGTCAGCAGGTCAGGCTGCTTGCTTAGCTTAGCTTAGGTTCTGGTCTATTCTCAGTTAGGTTAGGTTAGGTTAGGTTAGGTTAGGATATGTTCTGGACTATTCTGGCCTGCGTGTTTCATAAATGTACCTAAACTCGATAAGAAACGATTTTGGTTGCTTTATTATTGTTACCTTGGTCCCGTACATGTTTTATGGTTCTTGATAAGCAGAAATATTGTGCTTTCGCAACAACGTAGAAACGGCGCTTGGAAGTCGAGGCAGTGCGGTGCAGGGCCGGCGCTCGGGAGCTCGCTATCGTATTTATTAAAATTCGAGGGTAGGAGCATGATTCTATCTGTTCTGAAATTATTTACGATATGTTCCGCCTTAAACACGACGAATGGTTTACCTTGGTCCCGTACATTTTGTAGATTTCTTGGTAAGCAGAAATATTGTATTTACGCAATGGCAACGCAGAAACGGCGCTGGGGAGTCCAGGCGGTGCGGTGCGCGCGGCGCTCGGGAGCTCGCCATCGAAGTTATTGAAATTCGAAGGTAGGAGCATGATTCCACGTGTTTTGAGATGATTTACGATATGTGCCGCCTTGAACACGACGAATGGTGTGCAATGATTTTTTCTAACGTTAGGTAGGAAAGTACACCTACACCGTACGATCCCTCAGCGCACGTGCTGAGGCTCTGGTGTCATCACACAGAGCAGCGGAGTCCCCCACTTGTTGACGTTTTCAGCGCTGGTGCTACAA